GGAGAGCAGAAAACCCGGGCATTTGCTCTTATTTTAAAAACCTGCCTGGATGCAGCATAGGAGTCCAAAAAAAAGGACATGTCTGGAAAATCCTGGATGTATGGTAACCCTAGTGTAGGACCAAAGTAGCACAGGGCCTGAAACAGCCACACAAGGCTGAGGTGGCACACAGCCCTGGTGAACTGGGCCAGGCTTGCCTGAGCTAAAGCAGCACAGGGCCTAGCCAAGGCACTGATGGTTCCAGTCACAGCAGTGATCTTGGGATCTGGCCCCCAGACCAGTCCCCCCACCCCTCATCTGGCCTTCGGGGCCAAAAGGTTGACCACCATTGGCTTTAAAACACAGTTCTTCCACAGCTGACTCCATGAAATAAGCTGCTTGCTGAACCTATGATATTTCAACAGATTTTTTTTTCACAAAATCCAGCTATTATTTTATTGTTCCAAGCATCAAAAATTTAAATATTTTTCTGTAAACTGTACTTAGTAAATGAAACCACCTAATTAGGTGAAAAATTACAAATTACATTTTTATAATTACTTTTTATAACTAGTAGTTAAAATGTAGCTTACATAAAAATACCAAAGCAAAAAATGCAGGGCTGTTTTCTTAAAAGGAAGCACCAGAAATGTGTGAGGAGGCTCACAGCTACAGGTCTACAGATCTATACCACCAAATGTAGTTTTGGCCTCCATGGCCCCTGTGCCTTCTGATTTTTCCAACTAGAACATCATTGTTTAATTTCTTACAAAGCTCTTTGGCACAAAGCTGTCCTGAATGGGCTCTTGAATACTAAAGAAGACTAATAGGAAAGATAGGTCCCTGGAAAGACTAAATAACCTACATGTGGGGGAGCTAAATCAGAGAGAAAGCTTGGGTAATTTGGGCATGGAGACCAAAATTAAGGGATAAAACCCATATCTGGGAAATCCTAGGCCAGTGCAACCAAACTACAAGGTTCTCCCTCCTCTGGATCTCCTTGGGGTGGCAATGATCTCTACATAGACTTTGGAGAAGTCCCCCCTCTAACACTGCAGTGTAAGTAATTTGTCAAGTATCATGTAGGAAGTCTGCACTGGGGCTCAAGGAGTACCCAGGTCTCCTGGGTGCTAATCTCGAGCCCTCATCAGTTCCATCATCCTTTTTCATGCAGTGCATTGATAATATTTTTATTTATATCCTGTCAATGACACAGCCTTATGAACAAGACTTGGATATGTCATGTCTGTATCAGAGACTTTTATTCTAATACCATTCTAATACTAATTTAACTCTAAACAACCTCACTTATTTTACCTGCAAACTAATAAGAGCAAAAGTATGTTAGAGACTAGAAGTATGAATTGTCAGAAGAGACTTGATCTCATGGTGCTTTGCTTCCTGGGCCAACACATGCTCTTTTAGGTATGGGGGTATTTGCAAGGCCTGCATTTAACCAGATGAACCAGCCCTTGCCAATTTTTTTTTGAGCCTTCTCTCAGCTGGGACCCAACCCAGCATGTGCTGGGAGGCAGAGAGCCAGCACCCAACCTGAGCCTGCACCATGAAGTCAGGCACGAGGTACCCCACAGAAACTAAGGAGCTTGCCAGTGATCTGTTAGGGATGCATCTTGGAGCTAAGTCTGGGTGGTTTATGCCAACTGTGTCTGAGGGACGTTGGAGAGAGGAGAGCCACTGGATTTTCCCTTCATGATCTCAGGCTGTGCAAAATTGCTGTAAGAGCCTGTCATTTTAAATGGCAACTCTTTGAGGCAAAGGTCTGTTTCTCAAGAGCATGTTGGCCAAATGACCTTAAATTTTCACTAAACAATGTAGCTGGCATGGCACACCAGCACTTTCTGCTTCATTCTGTTCTGTACTATGATTCTTCAGCAATGTGTCCAACTGTAGATTTAAACCTAAATAGCTATTACTATTAGCCTTTAAAGCCTGTGAACTCCGCCAGATAGGAGCCAGCCCTTCCTGACTGTTTGGAAAGCACAAAGCCCATCAGTAAGCTATCATAAACTGGTAACAGATATTGTATATGAATGCTGTTGATGCAAGCGTTGCTTATTTCCTCTGAATTTTTTTAAGTCACCTACATTAGTTATCCCAATGCAACACTTGCCTGTTAAGGTTATTGTAGCTATAGAGGATAGAACCATAGAAGTAGGGTCGGAAGGGACCTTGTAGATTTTCAAGTCCGACCCCCTGCCTGGGCAGGAGAAAAACTGGGCTCAAATGACTCTAGCCAGGTAGGCATCAAGCCTCTTCTTAAA